TATTATTATTATTATTATTATTATTATTGTTGTTATTGTTATTGTTATTATTATTATTATTATTATTATTAACCAAATGTATTTTACTTCCTGGTGCACTTTGTTTGGAGTGATTATTGTTATTGTTTTAACACTTTACAAACCATTTCCCAAACAGTTATTTTCTGACATTTCCAAAAAGTGTGTGAATGATTCACATTAAAAGATCCACTCTCTCCTACATACATGATATTTATGTAACTGCTTACTTCTTGCTCTTTGGGTGTAATAAAGAAACCAGTCTGATTTCCTTCCATGTCTGTGAATTGGTAGATGTATCTTCAGATGTTGTGTGGACAGCAGTTTGTAACATTTTTACCAGATTTGTGTCCTGCTTTTCTTTTTAGGGCTGCAAGACGGTAAAAACATTATATTGCTATTACTTTGACAGATATTGCAATTGCAGTATGATTCACAATTAATGTGTGGATGGTCATTTCTGCACCATAAATGTAATTATTACTGACAAAACAATTTAAAATCATGATGATGTGACATTTGTTGGGTTGTCTACCAATCTGGAGAACAAGATTTGTAGGCAAGGGCATCTCTGCAGAACACAGTACTTCATTATAATGCTGTTTGTCACACATCTTACTTTTATAAAAAAAAAATAGTATCTCCTCCATTTGGATATTGCACATGGCCATATTGCGATGATATTTTGAGTAATTGCAGTCGTATTTCCATTGCAAATTGTGTAATTTCTTTATCAACAAACAGTAATGCAAAGCATAGACACATCAGATATAATCACACTGCAAGTGGTTTGCAAAACTAAAGTTTGACATGTCGTAACATGAGCATGTCGGAGAGCAGCTGAGACATTTATAAGTGGAGTTGAGAAACTGTTTGGCTTGAGTTCACAAACACACAAACAAAACTGTTTCCTCTAAACAACTCGGAACACAGGAAAACCAGATGTGTACATTTTGAAATCATTATCCAACACACACTTTAAACCACATGCTCACAGAACAAACTCCTCACACACACACAAACCCTTTTACACACAAACCAAATCATGCACATCCCTCCCCTGTGTGTGTCTTTTTCTGTTTTCCAGTCAGGATTAATGGTTACCAGTGTCAGTGGGCCAGTTAGCTGTGGCAGAGACAGATAGTGCAGAGCAGAGTTTTACAGTTTGAATGTTTTTGTTTTTCTTGCAGCGAATAAAAACTAGAGATCAATAGAGATTCCCCCCCAGCTCACCCTGCTCTGAGTGCCACTGATGGATAACAGATGGGTTCACAGAGAGTGTGTGTATGTGTTTGTGGTGTGTGTGTGTGTGTGTGTGTGTAGCAGACATTTATACCAGAGATTTTATGCTTGTATTTTTGTGCTTTTGTACATGTTCTAGTATTGTTGTTCTTGGATTGTGTTGTTTCTCAATCCATCTTAGATCGATTCACAATATCAAGACTCTTGTTCTTGAGTTTGATTTCTCTGATTTTCACTGTGTGTGTGTGTGTGTGTGTGTGTGTGTGTGGGCGGGTGTGTGTTTGTGCGTGTGTCAGATTTGCAGCGGCGTCTCTATCAGAATTGATCTCCAGCAGGCCTTCTCCTCTCTGATATGGCGATACGTTTCTTATGAGGATCTGAAAATGGAGGCTCAGAACGTGTTGGAGAGTCAAGAGAGCGTGTTTCTTGGCAACTTGCTTATCCCAATATGGCAAACTAACTGTCTTGTGAAGTGGGAGCCAAAGTGTGTGTGTGTCTGGGGTGGGGAAAGTGGGATGGAGTTGTGAAGAGGGGGGAGAGAGAGCGAGAGAGAGAGGAAGGAAGGAAAGGGCTGAGCGAAAGAGAGAGAGGAAGGTAATGAAAGAGTAATTCCAAAACATTTAAAGAAACATTTCCCTCTCAGCTACCATTTGGATGTTGTTTCTGGAACGAGGAGCGCAAATGTTTTCCCTCACTCTCCCCCTCCCTCTTCTTCTTCCCTAGACTGTTCAGGAAGGGGAAAAGGGAATTTGGGATTGTATTTTTTTTTCCTGATCATTGGCACGAAGCATAACTGTGGACTCTGTGTGTGTGTGTGT